CTAAGTCAGGCATCACAGTGGCCATATGTATATCGGTTTCTTTTCAATACACATATCGCTGTTGCGAATACATCGGAGTGAGAAGGAACATCAAAACCAGGATTATAAAACAAATGACAATCTCCTTCGTCTCCGTGTTCATGTCCTTGCAGGGCCAAGCCAGCCCCGGGCAGCAGCAGGCCTTGCCGCCCTGGCAGCAGCCTCAGCCGCAGCCCGACCCGGTGCTGCCCCCGTGGCAACAGCTGCTGCCCAACCGCTGCCGTCCGCTGCCCTCCAGGGCCTCCCGCCCTGGCAGCAGCAGGGACCCGACCCCGTGCAGCCGTCGCTGCCCCCCTGGCAGCAGCAGCAGCAGCAGCCCCTGATGCCGGCGCAGCCGCAGATGCCTGTGGTCCCCTCTCAGGTGTGAACCGGGCTTGTGATGACGCGATGATAAAACATCTTTGCGCGATGGGAATGTGTTTAACACGTAGGCTTTCTCGACCAAGCAGTAACTAAACGGACGTGTTGTTTACGTGACGAACCTTGCTAATTGGCTGTGTCGGGTGGTGGCGGGTTTAACGACACATTGATATTTACGTGATCTGACCCAGCGAAAACTCTGTTATGGATGGAACCGCGTGCTCGTCGATTGCACGTTCATCTTCCGTGGGGTGGTGGTGGCGAGTGTGAGCTCGTCCTCAACGCTGTCGTTACCGTCGTCGTTGTGGACGCCCGGTAGGGTGGCGCCCGCCAGTCGCGGGCCCCGACGGACCGTTCAACGCCGGCCCGGTGGCGCCCGGTGGCCGCATGGTCCCCAGCCCGCAGCATGTGCAGGAGCAGATCCAGCAGAGCTCGCCAACTTGCAGCAACAGCAGCAGCACCTCCTGCAGCAGCAGCAGGTGAGGGGGGCCAGCAGGTGACCCTGGTGCTGAGCGAGTGGTGCGTGTGAAAGTCGGCAACGATGAGCAGGGTTGCCATGCAACAGGATGGTGCAGATTCGTCTTGTTGCTGAAGGGTTGTGTCGCTATGCAACAGGAAGGTTCTGATGAGTAGTGTTTGCCGTGCAATAGGGAGGTGTTGACGGTGAGTGTTCCTATGCAACAGGGAGGTAATAATTGGTAGCATTGCTATGCAACAGGGAGGTACTGATGGATAGTTTGCTTGGTAACAGTTGAGCTAATCGGAAATATTGCTGTGCAACAGGGAGGTGCTGACAAAGTGTTGCCATGCAACAGGCTGGCGAGGGTTGCTGTTCCGCAGCAACGGCGCATGAGCGTCCCCACGGTAACGGTGTGCGTTTGCCGCCCCGCGTGACGCCAGGAGCAGATGGAGGCGGCCGTGTGTGCGGCCCAGGAGGCGCGCGTGCGCGCAATGGCCGCCGAGGCCCAGCTCAGCCTGAGCGACCTGGACGGCCTCCTGCAGCCGATCATCGACACGTGCACTAAGGACGCCATCTCTGTATGGCACCTCACCCCTCCACCAGCACCAACAGCGTTGATTGAGCAGTCTATTGTGTGTGTGCACGAGATGGTTTTGGTATGTGCGTAATGGCGAACACAGCGTGCGTTTTTGAGACGGTGATTGTGTCTGTGTGACGGTTTTTGGGTGTGGTTGTGAATGTGTTAATGTTGTTAGTGCGTGACGATGTGTGTGTGTGTGATTAGTGTTGGTTTGTGAAAATGATGTGTCACGGTGTTGGTGTGTGATGCTGTGTCCAACGGTATTGATGTGTGATGCAATCCGTGTGACAATGTGTTAGTGGTGGTGTGTGTGTGTGATGCGTGTCAATGTTTGCGGATGATGGTCTGCATGTCACGGTGATGGTGCGATCGTATGTTAGCGACGGTGACGTTGCATGCGACGGTGATGTGACGGCGGCGATGACTTCTCGCGTGCGCTGCATGCAGACCGGCAAGACGTGGATCTTCTCAAACGCCAAGTCAACGGGGGTGTGCGAGGCGCTGGCCGAGTACCTGCGCTGGAGGATCGTGCGTCCGGGCTCCAGCTTCGAGCTACGCCTGCACCTCATCTACCTCATCAACGACGTTCTGCACCACTGGTGATTGCCGTGCCTGCCCCATTGCCCCGTTGCCCCCCCCACCCCCTTGCATCCATGCCAGAGGTCGCAAACGGGTTTTGATTCCTTACCCGTACCCGGCCACACTAGGGTCGCAAAGGGTACCCGTACCCGGCCGTACCCTACCCGTACCCGGCCGGGTACGGGTAGGGTACGGGTAGGGTACGGGTATCCGATTGCGACCTCTGGGATGAAGCCATGTTGCAGGCGCGGGTGGGTTGATTCTAGGAACTTGAATTGTGAGAAGAGACGA